CTGTAAACAGTATTAGAAAATCTGAATTCGAATTCGAGATTCAGCATAATCGAATCGAATTCGGATAATTGGTCAAATTTGAATACCAATTTTTTACTGATTAAATTATTGGATCGAATTTGGATATGCATTGATCCGATCCAATAAATATCTGAACCGATTATATATATAAAGAAGGTTAAAAAAGTAAATAAACAATTTGAGATTCTTGATTATCAAATCTTATTGAATCAAACGAATAGAAACTGATGACAATTCAAACCTCTCCTCTGGTCTCCATCTCCTTTCAAACCCTAACCCTAACCCTCCCTTCCCCGTTGCCGCCTGAGCAACCAACATCACCGGCCACATCAGCGATTTGTTAGTCGACAGTCGATAGTCGAGTTTCGATCACCGGCCACTGCCCCTCATCCTTTGCCTCTCTTTAGTCCTCTCTCGTCTCTCTTATTCTCCTCTATCTCTCATATTTCGAGATAGAGACTCAGCATCGCCACTGCCCAAGCAAACACCATCACCGGCCGCATCAACAATTTGGCAATCGACAGTCGACAGTCGAGTACCAGTCACTGGCCACCGCCCCTCATCCTCCGCCTCTCCTCAGTCCTCGATTGTCTCTCATCTTCTCCTCTATCTCTCATATTTCGAGATTGAGACTCAACATTGTCGTCGCCCAAGCAACCACCATTACCAACGACAACATCAATGATAGCAGTCAAGCACCGGTTACCGGCCACTTCTGTCTCCTTCGCTGCTGCTCAACGCCTCAAGGCCCTCAACCCAAGCTAATACTATGAGAGTGCCATTGTGCCAACAATCCAGCATCACTGGCCAACATTGCCACTGCATTTGCAGTAGTCGAATTCGTATTGAATCGAATATTCGATTTGATAATCGAAATTGAATTCGAACTAAAATATTTGATATCTATCAGATATCGAATCGAATTGGAATATTATTGTTCATAATTGATTTCAAATTCAAATCTATCTTGATTCGATTCAAATTCGATCCGTTTACAGGCCTAATCACCCATCTCTGGCTAATGTAGGTGTCATTTCACTTATTAGTTTGTTGTAAGCAAGGTTTCAAATTTTGATATGATACACCCTATATCAGGTGTATCGTATTGTATCTTTAAAAGTCTGATACGAGATACGATGAAAAATCGGTGGTATTGTCTTTTTTCCATTGTATTGTGGTGTATTGAGGCATATCGGGGGTGTATCAACTGATACGCTACGAAAAAGATATGGCAAAAAACTAAGAAAAAATAAAGGGGGAAAGAAAGCTTCTTTCATCCCCAAATGACTCTAAAACTCCAAACCTCATTCCTAGAGTGCTAGATATGCAAAAATTTGCAAGAAACAAGCATGAAACATCATTTTTTTAAGATTTTTCAAATTTTGAAAAAATATGGCAAAAATATGTAACTTTTTTCAAATTTTTATAATATCTTGTGATTTCTTTTTTTTTCTTGAATGTTTAAATCTATGTTGATCTACATTTCTACATTCAAATTTACAATTTTTTTTTGTGTTATGAGTATATCTATGGAAGTTTCGTGAAGATATTTGGGGAAATATAAATTAACAAAATATTTGAAAATGTAATTTTTCTCTGCCAATAAAGACTTAATTTGTTTTAGATATATGGATTTATCTATCATATCCATAGAACAATTGAAATTTCTTCTTTAATATTTTTTTTTATTTTTTATATTTTTAGTTAAAAATAAATAATAATTAATTATATCTTATCATTTGATCACAATGATTGAATATAATATAATTCTATGGACGATCTATCATATCCACAGAGTAATTGAATTTTTTTCTTTTATAATTATTTTTTTATTTTTATATTTTTTAGAATTAAAAATAATAATAATTAATTATATTTTATCATTTTGACTGAATATATTATAATTCTATGGATGATCTATCATATCCACAAAGCAATTGAAATTTCTTCTTTAATAACTATTTTTTTGAATATATTGTATAATGTTTATTTATTTTTTATTTTTTATATTTTTTGAAAATAAATAATTATTAATTATATTTTCACTTGGAAGTTGTGTCAATGCATGCTTTATGGTTGGATAGGGGAGTTGGGTTTTTCCCATCACATAAAACTTAAGAATTTTAATTTATAAATTATAGATAAGCATAGGTTTTTTCAATGAAATTATAATTAACTACAATGTATTTCTTCATAAAACCATTAAAATATATTAATTTAATGTATATATACATCATTGGGGTCTTATATTTAGTGTTATTGATGTATTTTTATGATTTATTTATGTATTTATAGTGTTTTCATGCGTATCTTAATTTTTCTCCGATACGCATGCGTATTCAAGACATATCCCGATACGTCTCTTAAAATTGTCTTTCTAATACACTTGGTGTTTCCAATACTTTGAACCTTGTTTGCAAGTAGACCTGTTAATGGCCCGGGCTTTGGACCTGATTTTCCATTGTGTTGGGCTCAAGCCTTGGACCGGGCCCATTCAAATTTTGAGAAAATCCAAGCCCGAACCCAGCCCATGAATAAATCTAATTGCAAGATGAATCTAAGTAACTGAAAGATAATGCAGTAGAAGCCTACTCTAAACAATACCATGGCCATTACCTGGGAACAAGTAAATAAGGCATCTAAATAAGACTGAATGTCTGCTCAAGGATATTTTGGTCATTTAGATTGTTTAAATGATTATGTGAACAACTTCTCTTAATGATCACTAACGTTGATACGACGGAAGGTGAATTTTGGACTATAAAAACTCACTAATAGGGGACTTCTTGGAGGTTTTGAAAAATCATAGCCAATTTAAAAGAAATGTAAAAAAGTCATCGTGAATTTTAGATAAAATATCCCAGAAAATAATAAAAAAAAAGCATTTTAAATTATCAGGGGCTGTTTAACAAAAAATAACAACCCACGCCATGGTGTATGTTGATGTAAGGCGTTATTATTGTTTAAACTGCCCCTAACACAGCCATGAAATGTAGCTAATCTGAACTCAAAATATAATCCAATCCAATGATTATGATTTGTGATCCTACATGCCAAACCATTAAATAAGAAAACAAAAAAACCCACCAACTTTTGAACCTTGTATAGAGAGCAAACTGATGAGGATTTCTCAACCACTTCAGTTATTTCATATTTGATAGAAATGAGACATAAGCACTAACAAACTATCATTGAAGATTATAATCTGTGTTAGGAATCAGTGTAAAATTTTTGAAAAACGTGAAAGGTGAAGAGTGTAAAATTTTACATTGATAAAATCGATGTAGTATTTATATCGATAATCGATGTAAAATTTTACTTTTGATAGTTTTACATCATTTATCGACGTAAAACTCTACTCCATCCCTACACAAAACTGAACCGGAGTGGAGTTTTACGTCAATCATGATTACACTCTCCTTCCAAACGCAGACAAAATCAAACCAGTGTGAACTTTTACACTGTTTTTGATTTACACCGATCCCAAATGCAGCCTAAAGAAAGCTAAGAAGGTAAAAGCTCTTTATTGCTAGGTATTCACATCAACATACCATTCATATATGACTTGGATTCTAGTAAATAATTCAAAAAGAAATAAACTAGAAGTTATAATGAAATTACACTTTAGTTTCAATCAACTATTCAACTCAACCAATTTTATGAAGGGGTGTTAATTTTATTTGGTTTGAAAAATCAAACCAATTTTATGAAATTACACTTTAGTTTCAACCAAATCAATAAGTTACCTTAAATTTTCAGACTAAATTAAACTGTTTTTAAGGTCAGATCAGACCAAGCCACTAATTTTGATTTGATTCGATGTGGTTTAGCAGAGGTAATATAAAAACACCCCTATTTCTATGGATTTATTTGCTTGTAGGGCACTCTGGATTTCCTACCCACTTTCTACCTGCAGTGAATTGGAGCCACAGAATTGAGGTATGTGTGTCTGCAATTGAGGAAGGGTAGAGAATGGGCAAGAAAAGTGAGTAGGAAATCTGGGCTCCTAGGGGCTAAGGCAAAAATTAGCGGAATTAAGTGGAAATTTTATTTTATATTTTGAAAGTCGGAAAGCAAATTCATTCATCAATCAACGAGTCCATCTCGTGAGAAATTAATTGAATAGAAAAGAGGAAATTGAAGACCATGTGATTGTTCTGTTATAGGTTAAAGAAAATTTGGCTAGTAAATGAACAGCTTCATTAGACTCCCTTCTTGAGGTTACATCATAACGCGATACTGGCAATATAGTAAAATTAGCAAAAAAAAGAAAAAAAAACAAATAAAATATAAAATATAGGAAAATAGGAGAATACCAAGAAAATATGGAAGGAAAAGAAGGTCCGATCATTGCTTTGATACGGGCTAGTCTTTTAACTGGTAATGGGTGGTTTAATTTTATATATATATATATATATAGATAGATAGATATATGGTTTGATATATTAAACTGGTTTGAGGTTCTGTTTCTGGTTGGCTTCCCAATTAAACTTGTATTAAATGTGATATTAACATGGGAGAAGGTAAAGGTTCCAATATTGAGTTGAACTGAACAGAACAAATTTTGATTGTTTCTAAATATATTCTACCAACAAAGTGATCCAAAACAGATGAATGATCGCATCGACCTGATCCTTTTCTGGCCCAGAGAATAGGAAGCGGGATCAGCAAGGAATATGTTATGCCCCATAAAAGGGGAGTCAACAGAATGTATATATTTTCTTGATAATTGCATTACACTCAACGGAATAAATAAATAGAAAAAAAGCAATTTTTTAAAGTGTTTTTTATTTGACACGGATAAAACAGCATATTTCGTGCCTTTAGAGACTCAAGCTTAGCTTTGCTTTGTATGGAAGAAGGCAGGTCTCTCTCATGCATGCTTTGTTTCCAAATCACCAGTCAACCACCGAGCCTTCTCCTTTTCTTCCTTTCTTGCACAAGCTTCCAAAACGAACTATTATAAATATGCCTCACCCACTTTAATTTCTTCCTCAATCAAGTCAAGACCCTCTCTCTCTCTATCTCTCTATAGTCTCAAACATGGCGGCTGTCGTCCCACTTCTGGTCTTCTTTGCTCTTGTCTCCAGCGCAGTTGCCTCAGATCCGGACTTGCTTCAAGACATCTGTGTAGCCGATCTGAATTCTGGTAATTCTTTCTTTTATCACAGACTATCATTTTTCCTCAGAGAAGGAAAAGCAGCTCAAAAAAGAGAAGCAAATCTCATTTCTTGACTCTGGGGTTGACTGGGCCTAATTGCCCCAGCACAACTTTACTCTGTTTTTTTTGTTTTCCTGTTTTAATTTCTCTTCTGGGTATATACTTTTTATTAAAAGAAAAAACTAATCTTGTGGACTTCTTAACCCTTTGTTGTTCCTTGATGGTTTTCGGCTTTTGAGTGGTGGTGTTTAATATATATTGATGATAAACAGGAGTAAAGATGAATGGATTCGCTTGTAAAGAAGCGAGCAACGTAAGCGCGGCGGATTTCTTCTTCGACGGGCTGGGCAAGGCAGGACAGACCAACAACACAATGGGGTCTCTGGTGACCGCGGCCAACGTCCAAAAGATCCCAGGACTCAACACGCTAGGCGTCTCGCTCTCCCGCATCGACTACGCACCGGGTGGCCTAAACCCACCTCACACCCACCCCCGTGCCACCGAGGTCGTATTCGTCCTGGAAGGCCAATTGGACGTTGGCTTCATTACCACCGCTAACGTCCTCATATCCAAGACCATCAGCAAGGGTGACATCTTTGTGTTTCCAAGGGGTTTAGTCCACTTCCAGAAGAACAACGGCGACGTACCTGCTGCTGTCATCGCTGCCTTCAATAGCCAACTGCCTGGCACTCAATCCATTGCTGCAACCTTGTTTGCCGCATCGCCCACCGTGGCTGACAATGTGTTGACTAAAGCTTTCCAAGTGGGTACCAAAGAGGTTGAGAAGATCAAATCCAGGCTTGCACCCAAGAAATAAAAGGAAAGGGTAATTAGCTACGAGTCCGGCTGCCTCAGCTCATCAGTCTTTCAGATGAATTGGGGGGATGTTGTTGTTGTTGGTCAGGACTCTGGATTTGTTGGATTTGTTTAATTGCTAATGCTTTTGGACCTGGTCTTTAATTAATTCCGACTTTGTAGTCTTGCTAATAATATAATTTTATGAGTTAAAAAGTGTCAGACACTAAGCGCTCCATCATCATCATCATCATTAATTAATTATTACCTGTTTTATTGTTTGAGTGTGAATTCAACAAACCCTTTTATGAGTTAAATAAGTGTTTATTCGAATAATTAAACAACTTTTGACACTTGTCAGAATATTTATTAAGTGTTCATTAAACGTGCTATGTTATGCCTATTAGATGCCGTTCCCTTGATACACATGGACATGATACAGTTGGTTCCATCTGGATCGAAGTCTGGACTCCCAACTCCCAAGGAAAATAAAAAGAATATAAATAAAAAGAGCATCACCCATTATACCCAATTACCAAATGCTGGTCCCAAGATAGAATTGTGTAGAAAAATAGGCCCTATTTAGTGTATCTTTTTGCACGGGTTGTCAGTTATTTAGAAGTCTGATAGTTCATATTTTCATCTTTTTCTATTTGGTTGGGAAAAAAACTTTCCACTGAAAGGCCATTCCTCGGAAAAACATGAGAAGTTCAACTCGAGCTTATTTCAAGAAGTTAGATATGAAGTTCTTGGCCTCTTTTCATTTGCTCAAATCTCGTTTTTATGCCTCAAATCAAACGATTTTTGGACTGCTAAGATTGTTATATAAAAATTCATTACGTCTTTTGACTGTCAGATTGTCGAGAAAACTTACCAAACAACACCATAAGTAACGACACAAGCTTGGAAAATCCCCCTGATTGTTGATTATTATTATTGGCTGCTGCTGCAGGGGGGCCGACCTGGCTTAATTGGTTGTAGACTTTGTAGTCCATGACAAAATCAACCCTGCCGTGCTGTCATGGGTTGAGTGGGTCAACTACTCGAAATCACTGATCTCCAAATTCCAAAGCAAATTCCGAAGTGATTATTGGTCCTATTAAGAGGGATAAGGGTGAGGTGGGGTGTGATGTTGTGCAACCCTCCTGTCTCCTCCTGGTCCTGGGGCTTACTTAAAAGTTAATTTATATTCTTCTATGGAGCATGGAGTATGGATATTTTTTTTCCGAGTACGGATGGTTTTAAATGTTAATATGGGTTTCCAGTTGGTTCCTGATTTGACTCTATTATTGACCCAACCTAACCGAACGAGTGGTTAATGCTGCTGCTCGTCACTCGACTTTTTCAAGTGCTTATTTTTTAAAATAAACACTTATTTTAGTGTCTGATAGTCTTTTTTCTAGAAAGCACTTAAATAAGCATTTGTGACTATTTTGTCTTTCATTTTCTTTCAAATTTTAAAATATACCTCTTGAAAGCACTTTTATTAAATTATTTTTATAAAAACACTTTTATGAAAGTACTTTTATAAAAACAGTTTTATGAAAGTACTTTTGCGAAAGCACTTTTATAAAAGTACTTTTATGAAAGCACTTTTATATAAACACTTTTATAAAAGTACCCTTACAAAAGCACTTTTGTGAATGTACTTTTATGAAAGCACTTTTATAAAAGTACTTTGTGAAAATACTGCTTTCATAAAAGTGCTTTCGTAAAAGTACTTTCGTAAAAGTGCTTTCATAGAAGTACTTTCATAAAAGTGCTTTTGTAAAAGTACTTTCATAAAAATGCTTTCATAAAATTGCTTTCATAAAAGTGCTTTCATAAAAATACTTTCATAAGTGTTTTCATAAAAGTACTTTCTTAAAAGTGCTTTCGTAAAAGTACTTTTATAAAAGTGCTTTCGTAAAAGTACTTTTATAAAAGTGCTTTCATAAAAAATACTTTTATAAAAGTGCTTTCGTAAAATTGTTTTTATAAAATTCAACTAGGGATAATATTATAAGTGGTATTTTAAAACTCAACTAGGGATAATTTTGGAAGAAAAAAATTGATGAGTGCTTATTGTATGAGCACTTAAAAAAAACTTAAAAAATAAGTCCTTATTTTTAAAATAAACACTTATTTCGGGCTTGTTGTTAAATCATCAATCACATGGCATTACATTTTATTGACAGTTAAATTAACATCGACAAAGATAACATGTACCAACACAAAAGTTTATTGTTTAAGCAGGCAAAAGACAGAAAGCATTCATGGACCAATTATTCTGACGGCAAGGATGGGCCAATGGTTAAATAGACCTATATTAGATTACTATATGATCAATTTGCTTTGTTTTCCACCTCCAAGTAGTTTCCAATTAAACCCTATAGCATTCTTTCAAACTACGCATGGATTGGTGTGCCACACATAATGCAGCTTTTTACATAGTATCTAGTTGAAACATTGAAACACCATCTAGCTTCTATAGCTAGAAATTAAAACAGATAATATTTAGGTCTAATAATGATTTTGAAAGCTGTTATTGCACTGAGAAAATGTTAGACAATAACTCATCCCAGCCTAGCCTCTTTCAATCCAAGCTGAAGAGTTTGCAATTTTTTGAGGAATTTACCTCCAGTTGAGTCAGCTCTTGTGTTCACCCTTAAACGTGGGACTCTAAACCCAACCTACCCACCCAAGTAAATTTTCACCCCATCATCTTCCCATTAAAGGCGGGAACAGGAAGCCCCATCTTTCCGTTCGACTTCTTGTAAATTCACTTGGGAATAGGAAATTCAATTTCCTGAACTTTTATTTCATTTAATTTTATCTGCTGCAACTTTTTCTCAGCTCATAATGCTTTTCCTTGAAAACAATTATGCACAAGAAATCTGAATCAAGCTTTCTAGAATAAAAATAAAGGTAAAATTGTCTTTATTTGGCCAGATGATTGGAGGTGGTATACACTGATTATCCACAGTGTAGTACTTGGGCAACCATAACCTTGAGTTGAAATTATGGTGTCCAACTGATAAAAAAACAAGGCCTAGGTGTAAGACAAAAGATAATAATGTAAATTGTGTAAGACAATAGTAACTAGCAAAGTTCTGCCTCATGTAAATTGTGACTATGAATAGTAAGTCCAAAAGTTACTATAACAAGTTATTTCAATTTTCATTATGAAAAGTAAATTTCAAAAAGACTTAACTTTACAACCAGTTTCATGGTTTTTCTTCAATTGAAGTTCTTGCATTACTAGATCATACATTTCAGTTAGCGTGATTTGACGGCTTGGTATCTGAAATATTTTAGTGACAACAGATATTGGATGAGTGTGTAAAACAAGGAGTTCCAATGGTAGGGGAATAGAGGATCAGATTTGAGACCTAATGAGCTCTTTAGTATCAGAAGAAAAAATTCACATTTTAGATAGATGATAAGAAAACTTGATTAGCAGTTCTACTGTTCTAGCAGAAGTTGCAATGTACAGAGTTCAAGCTCTGTTTAGAGAAGAGGAGCAGAAAGCTATTCTCAGCATTCCAATGAGCTGGAATGGTGGCCTGACCATTTGGTTTGGGGAGCAAGGAAGTCTGGGAGCTACTCAGTTAGGTCAGGATATCACCTAGATTTTCAAGTAGATGAAGGAACAACAGAACAGAACTAAATAGTGGTTTGGATGATCTGTTGAAAATTGTTTAAAAAAATAAATCATTTGGAGGTACATGTAAAATGCTGTTTCTGTCATTTGTTTGTTGGCAAAAAGGGGCATTAGTGTGGAGACAGACTGTATACGGTGTTAATAATAAGATGAATTGACTGAACACTTGCTGTTTTTGTGACCTCATGCAAGAGCTGTTTGGTTTTGGACTGTTCTTTCCTTTAGAAAAGAATTGATAGTAGGTGTCAAATTGATGGATTGGATTTTTACGTATAAAAGGGATGAGGAAAAAAACATAAATGCTCTTAGATGCTTTGTTTGTTGGAACCTTTGGAAGGCAAGGAATAAGTTCTGCTATAACAGTGATGATAATAGAACCAGGCAAATTAGTGAACAAGATAGTGAAGGAGTGGAGGGATTAGACTGAAGTGGGAAGCTTTGAGCCTGAAAAGGATTCTGGTATGAGAAGTAAGATGGTGACTACCTCCTGAAGGTTGGCTGAAAACTTTGATGCGGCCTGCAAGGAAGAGATTAAAGAAGCTATTATTGGCTTTATTTTAAGGGGAATCTATGTGGGATGATCTCGGCTAGAGACTGGAAGGTGAGCTACTTGTCAATTAAAGTAGCTGAGGCCCTTGCCATCAGAATGGGATTGCCGAAGCTGTGGCGATTGAATGTAAATTTCTGATGGTGTAATTGGATCCCTAGGAGGTAAATAAATATCCGGAAATGGTGACTGAAAGCCAAGATTCCATTTCTGATATACCAAGGTATCCTCAGCAAGCCTAAAAGATTTCTACATTACTAGAATGTTTTTGTACATAGACAAAGAAACTTTGTTTTAACAATTGTTATTGGAATGCCTTAATCTCCATCAAATAATCTAAGCATTCTTGATCTTGTTATCAGAGATTGTATTATTGATTGAATGATTAATAAAATCCCTGTTCTTTACAACGAAAAAAAAAAAAAAAAACAAAGAAGATAAGATTTTCTATGTGACTAGAAGTGATTCACTATTGCAGAGTGATTTGATAGGGGCCATTTCTACCTACATCCAATTGGCAAGTACCATTACTGATCCATTCCTCAAACGAGCATCCATTCATTGAAAGGAAATTTAATCCAGTAAATTAAAATAGTTGCTATTCAGTATTATTTAATAGAAAGGAATGTAGCATACAGGTTAATTTACAATTCAGCAACCATGAAATATACAAATTAGGAGAACCAGAGGTCCAGAGCAGACAATTACCTCATTTCGGAAGTCGCGTACACACACACAAACTACAACTAAATAGAAAAAAGTTGCCAAATACCTCAAACTAATCATGATTCCTTCTGAAGAACAACAGACTCGAGAACAACAGACTTGGGATTCACCATGGGAGGACCCTTCTCCCTCCGTTCAAGTTCATCAAGCCTGAAAGTGATAAGCTTATCCCAGTTTCCTCCCTCGAAAAGAACACCGGCCTTGCCGTCAGTAACTCTCTGAACGATCCCACAGTACATATAAAATGGGTTTGTAGGGTTCTTCACTATAGCCATCATACCCGGCATCAAAAGAGGCAATTCAGGTGGTTTCGGCTTCGATCTTGGGAACCCAATTGCCAATTCCTCAGCTGAAGCAGAATCTGGTTTCTTGGGAGGTGGATTCTTCTCGATGAAGCTCTTCAAACCTTTCTCACCACCAGGGAACCCCCCAGTGAGGCCTAGCAACTCCTTTTCGAAAGCGTTTTCAGGAATTTTGAACGTGGATAGTGCATCAGAAGAGGAAGAAGGTTCTGGGTTCGAAGAAGTTCCGGGTGGGACTTGTTCGATTGTTCTTAGGAGCTCCTTTTGCACGCCTTTCTCACCATTGCAGAGGCCTCTGCCTCCCATAATTTCAGAGAGGTTGAACTTGGATATGGGTTTTAAATAGAAGGCTTTTGAGACTCTGAAGGATGGTTTGATAGAACTGGGGAAATGGGGATCACCAAGAAATTTAGATTTCTGGAAGAGTGGGCTTTGAAGGCTCGGCAGGGTGAAGGACGTCATGGTTAGCAATTAGGAGTTTAGGCAGGGAGGGAACAGACAGAGCTTCGTTTTTCTCAGCCACAGACGTGGTTTTGTTTTGTTGACTCGTCATCTAAGCTGATCTTAAATTACACGTGGCATTATGTGAAACATTCTTGTTAAAATGGATGAAACAGGTAAGCAAAAGCAAGGACATCTGAATTGGGAAATCCTGCCAATAACAAGTTACAACATCATCTCATTATGAAAGTGCCCATTGCTGCACTGGAAATCAGAAATCTGCATTGAGCCTAACAGTACTTTTCTGTTATAAAAGTGGGGACTCATGTTATGTTATCATATATAAGACACTCGGATTCAAATGAATCAAGTCGGATTCGAACTAAGATATATCCGAATGCGATTCGTAATGTTCATGGCGGATCCGATCCGAAAGTCAGATCTTCGGATGTGATCCGATCCAACTTATTTTTTTAAATTAATAAATTATTCAAAAAATAAAATATACTAATTTAAATAAAAAACAAAAAATATAAATAGTTTTGTAATTATTTTTATTATATATATTTTTTATAAAATAAATAAATAATACAACAACTTTACAAAAATAAAATATAAATAATATATTTTTAAATAAATAATATTATTTATATTTATATTTATATAAATAAATATATAATATATCGAACCAGATAAGGGTGATTCGAATTAGACCAAATAGGATCAAATCTTGGATTTGACGATTTTTAAAGGAAGGATTTCAAGCCAAAACCTCCTATAATCAGACATGTGGCTCACCTACATTTGAACACCTATCCTTCCAAGAAGAGAGACCACTAACTTGCAGATTAACAAAGCCCATTAATAAAGCCCAAAGCCAACTACTATTTTTTAGCAAAAAGGGGAAATTAAATTCAGATAAAAAAGGTTACATGCGGGGAATATTTGGAGTTATAGTGTAACTTAAGCTTACCCTTACACATATATAAGCAAAAAGATGAGTTTCTGATTGACTGCCTTAAAATATGTACAAAATATATAATAATCAAAAGAGTCTATTAAACGTCTAAACGTGCTATGCCATTTGAAAGGGCCACATGCAATCCTCTTAACAAGGCTCTAATTTCAACATCAGAGCTGGTGAGAGCCCATGATGACCTGCCTTCTACAATGGTTAGAGGTGAGAAAAAAAAAACCGAAAAATTGATTAACCGAATCAATTGGTTCAGTTTCGATTCAGTGTTTTAAAAAAACTAAAGGTATCGTTTTGGTTTCGGTTAACCAATATAAAAAACTAATGGTTAATGGAACTGAGGGAGGATGATTTGACCCGACCCATTGAAACGATGACACGTGGACCTGACTCAGCACGAGCAATAGCTCAGCACCACAGCCTGACTGCAACTAAGTAACGAGCCTGCAGAATAGCTCGCTACGTTATAGCTCATTGTAGGGGGAGCTCGCTACAACGCGAGCTCCAGGTCCCCCGAGCCACTGAGAAGGGAATACTCCAAGACTATTTCAGCTCGTGAGCTAGGGTAACCAGCTCGCTCCAACACTTAGGCAGAAGAACTGCCCCAAAGACGATCTCAATGAGGGCCACCTTGAAGTATCCCTAGGAGCTCGGGGCAAAGTAGCTCGCGGCAAAGATAGCTCGCTATGCGACAGGGTAGCTCGCTATCAAGTAGTTCGTGAGTGGGCAACGCGACGCTCTTAGGAAGCTTCTATCTGACAAGACCGTACCCGTCAGACTGCACCACGTCTCTCGACTAACGGCGTAGTCCCTGCCCATTTGACAGTCTGCACCCACGTCTCTCGACAGATGGTGGCATGCCTGTCCCTTCGGGACGTGTTACTCATCCAAGCGGGTAGTACGTTGTAACGATCACCTGCACAGCCCTGGCAGGTAACGGCTGCGACAGGAGCCCAGTGGCGGTTACGCCCAATTTGACAGGAACACCCCTATAAAAGCCCTTTTAGCGAAGGGGAGAGGACTTTTGGATTATCATCTGAACTTGAATTATCTTACTGGCTCACGAGCTAATCTTGAGACACAGTGATCTAGCGCGACCTACACTCTTAGCCTTTTACACTCTTTTCTTCCTCCCCAGCGTTCTAACTTAAGCTTCGGAGCATTCCCACCGGGCAAATCCTCTAGGAATCCTTCACCTTCGTCTTCTTAGGTGCCATTCGTTGCCAGCAAGGAGCCAGTTAGCAGCTAGCTGGGAGTGCCCAGATCGTGCCGCATCATTTGGCGCCGTCTGTGGGAATACATTTCTAAAAGCCTTACTTTAAGCTTTTACAGTTTCTTTTTCTGAAAACTCAGCATTCATGGCTTCCTCCAGCAACGTCGGACGTGGTGCCAGCCAGAACGCCTCTGGAGAGCAGCCCCAACTTCCTACTGTCTGTATTGGGTAGTTCACTGTCCCCCTCTCCGTGGACGGAGTCCCCAGTTTGAACGTGCCCCTCACTGTGGCACCCGCGGTCGCTGCACTCCCTTTCACAATTGCAGCAACCTTTGTTGAACCCTCGGTTGTGCCCCCAGCGACCAACCCGAACCAGTTGGAGGACTTAATGTAGTGCATGCGAGCCATGCAAGATCAAATGCAACAATTCCAACTCTATCAACAACAAGTGTTGCACCAAGTCTCCCAGTACCAATATCAGCAGCAGTTTCCTTCTTTGCCTCAGGCCCAGCCGTCGCTTCCCCCTCGGCATCCGGCCATGAAGCAGACCAATCCCTCCCGCCGGAGCGAACGAACTCGCTGGGGAGAGGCTTCCCAGGCCCAGGATCCCGCCAAGAGTCAAGACTCTTCCCATAGCTGGAAGGAGAGGCCAGCCACCCCTGCCTCACAGCCTGTAGGTAGGTCGGGGGCCTCCCAGCCAACCAAGCCCGTATCGCCCCAGCCTTCGCGGTTCGAGCTCCTGCTCTTGGAGAACCCGTTCGAGGTCCTAATCGCAGACTATAGGCAGGGCCCTTCGGTTCAGAGCCACCACCAGCAGTTTGAGCCCGTCGAACTCGGCGACACTGAAGCATCAAGCACCAATGCCGAGCTAGCAAAACAGCAGCGAAGATGTCGGCGAGCTCGCCGAATTGCTACCCAAGTCTCTCCCGAGCTCAAAGGAAAAGAGGAGGTATGCTCAAGTGAAGTGAAAGCTACCCCTCTCCTCTCAGTTTCTTCCCCATTATCTCCAGAACTCCTCGCTGTCCCCATGCCAAGGGACTTCAAGCTCCCTCCACTAGACAAGTATGACAAATCCTTCGATCCAAATGACCACGTGGACGCCTTCCAGTCCCAGATGCACCTGGCAAGAGCTAGCGAGTCTTGCATGTGCGTGGCCTTTTCTACCACTTTCAAAGGAGTAGCCCACACCTAGTACCGAAACCTCGCGCCCGGTTCGGTAAGAAGCTGGGCGCAATTCGTGCAAGTTTTCACCTCCCACTTCGTCACCAGCAAAAGGTGCCCACGAACTTAGGAAAGCCTCCTCGGCATAGTCCAAAAGGAAGGGGAGTCTATTCGGAGCTACATCAAGTGGTTCAGCGATGCTTGCTTGCAGATACCCGACCTGGATCCCGTAGTTCGCCGCACCGCATCCAAGCGAGGTATCACCCACAAAGAGTTCAAGTGGCACGTAGTTGTCAATCAACCCAAAACCGTGACCGAGTTCCTCAAGCTCGCGGATCGGTTCATTGGAACAGAGGAGGAAATCAACTAGAAGGGTGAGCAGGCCCCAGAAAAAAGAAAGAGGGAACCAGAACCCCCGTCTCAGGGAGACAGCAGGAAGAAGAAGGACCAAACTCGGGGGCAAAGCCAAATCAGCCTTTCCGAGCTCCAGTAGCAGAAAGGGACTATACACCCCTCAACGCGAAGCGGGCCGAGATCCTCATGGCGATCAAGGACGCTCCGTACGTGAAGTGGCCACCTCGGCTGAAGGCCAACCCTAACGCCAGGAATAAAAATTTGTATTGTATCTTTCATAAAGATCACGGTCATAGTACCAAAAGTTGTAAAAACCTCCACGATGAGATAGAAGAACTCATCCGTCGCGGATATTTGAGAAATTTTGTACAAAGTAATAATAATAATAATAAAGCAGGTCGGCAAGGGGAGCAGAGTAGAGATGCTCCCGAGTCCAGCAGACAAGCGAAACAGCCACAGAAGCAGCCCCCCGAAGAGAGACCAATTCAAGGGACCATCCATGTCATAGTTGGAGGCTCGATTGTGGCGGGCTGTACCTCAGCTGCAGCTCGCGAAGCTGCCAGGGAAGAGCAGAACCCCCAAAGTGGCCAAGGTTGGAAGACCCCATCTTCTTCACAGAAGATGACGCGCACGGGGTCCACTACCCCCATGATGACGCACTCGTCATAAAGGTGAAGATCAACGACTTCGAAGTCAGGCGTGTCCTTATCGATCCAGGCAGCTCAGCATACATCTTCTTCAAAGTGGCCTTCGACCAACTCCAGCTTTAGGAGTGCGACCTAAAGCCCGCGAACACTCCCTTGGTAGGCTTCAACGGAGAGGAAGTTCGGCCCCTAGGAAGGGTAACAGTACCTGTGGAAGTCGGCACCTGGCCTAGCATAGTGAGGCTCAACCACGATTTCTTAGTGGTCGCAACCCCCTTCCCATACAACGCCATAGTAGGTCAGCCGATTACCCATGCCTTACAGGCTGTAGTGTCTACCTACTACTTGGCCATAAAGTTCCCAACGGACTTCGGCATCGAGGTAGTGCGAGGTGACCAGCTTGAGTCTCGCAAATGCTACGTCGCCGTCCTCAAGGGAAAAGCCAAGGTGGTCGATGACCTCGAGTTGGAGTGACCTACAGAGCAGAGCGAGGAACGAGTTGCGCCCACAGAAGAGACCGTCTCCATCTCAGCCTCGGCGGAGGACCCATCCCAAACTCTTTAGATCGGCGCTTCCATTGAGGAGCCTCTACGATCTAAACTGGTACGCTTTTTACTTGAAAATTTAGATGTTTTTGCATGGTATGCGGCAGAAATGTCCGGCATAGACCCCAGCATCATAACTCATAAACTTAATACTGATTATGTAGTTTGGCCCATTAGACAGAAGAAACGCAACCT